TCAATATATTTACTGACTCAAAATACTCTTTTATGATTCTCCACATGCACGGGGCCATTTGGAAGGAGCGGGGACTTCTTACGGCTAGTAACAAGGACGTCAAACACCCATTAGAAATCCTGGCCTTGTTAAAGGCAGTAGCTTTACCATCAGCTGTCCTGTGATGCACTGTCCTGGCCACCAAAAGGGTGGTTCTGACATGGCAAAGGGCAACAGGGCAGCTGATCGTGTGGCTAAGGCCACTGCCCGTTCTGCCCTCCAGGGTGCACTCATCCCTCTTGTGGACCTGACTCAGTATGCTCCTGAATATACCAGGCGGGATGAGGAGAGAGCTCGTGCATGGGGATTTACTGAGTTTGACCCCAGCTCTACTTGGAGAGTAAACTCCCATGGGGTGATCCTCCTCCCGGAGGCCCTGGTATATCCGGTGCTAAAACATCTTCACGAAGGATCTCACTATGGGAGAGATGCCTTATTAGAAACAGTGCACCCATATTTGAAGGGACCATATTTGCATAGAACAGCACAACGGATCACCCGAGGTTGTCAACTATGTGCCAGGAGTAACCCCAAGACTGACTCCCACCCTAAAGCCATTGGGGTTCAATATAGAGGCAAGTGCCCTTTTGAGGACTGGCAGGTGGACTTTACACAAATGCCTAGAACAACAGGCAACTTCAAATACCTATTGGTTTTTGTGGACACGTTCTCAGGATGGGTGGAAGCATTTCCCACCAAGAGGGAAAAAGCTTCCGAGGTTGCAAAACAGCTGCTGAAGGAGATAATTGCTCGATTTGGGTTGGCGGATTCTATCCAGAGTGATAATGGGCCAGCATTTGTCTCTGACGTTACTCATGCAGTGAGCAGTGCGTTACAGATCAACTGGAAATTGCATGCTGCATGGAGACCACAGTCTTCTGGACAAATGGAGAAAATGAACCACACCTTAAAGAAAACCTTGGCAAAACTGTGCCAAGAAACACAGCTTCATTGGGACTAGGTACTATCCCTTGTCCTCCTCCGCATAAGAGTGGCACCTAGAAGTGGGCTACAATTAAGCCCCTTTGAAATTGTGTTCAGAAGACCCTTCCAGGCCTCAGTTCTGAAAGCCAGTCCGGACATAGCACAAGATTGCCGGATCACACACACATGTGAAACACATCCAGGAGGTTCTATCAGTAATTCACAACTTTGCAACCTCGAGAATCTCTATGCCTCCTGATCAACCATTGCATCCCTTCAAACCTGGAGATCAGGTCTTACTGAAGACCTGGCAGAGTGGGGATGCCCAAAACCAGCTGTCAGAAAAATGGACTGGTCCATATGACGTTTTGCTAAGCACACATACTTCTCTGAAACTTGCAGGCATAAAACCCTGGGTACATCATTCCAGAGTTAAGAAAGTGCCAGAAGGAACTGACCCAGAGACGAAGTCCCATTGGTCTTGTGAACCCATTGAGGACTTGAGATATTTGTTTAAGAAACAGACAAAAACTTGAATGTTACTGACATCTTTTCCAGTTATTGTTGCAGGATACCCAAGAACTCACTTTTTTCTGAAGAAACCCTGAGAAAAAAACTAACATGCTCTAACCAATCTTCTTCCTTTCAAAGTTTAGGAGACGTGAAATAACATCTAGGATCATGCATATGCTGCCAGTATTTTTTTTTTACATAGAAAGGTTTTTCAATCTTGATTTTGTTATTTCCTATCAACTTTTTGTTTTTTTTTACTTTGAGGTTTTTTTTTCTCTGCTTGTTTTTTGTTGTTACTTTGGCCTATCAGTGAAACTGCATTTGTGTGAGACATCCCATGCGTGATGAATGGTAACTAAAGAGCTCTTTGTGTCTATATGTTGTCTGTCTGTATGTCCTTGTGTCTAACTGTCTTGGCCTCCAGTGATTGACAAATTGGTATACATGGTGCCCATAGACGTTGGGGGGGGAAAAAAAAAAAAAGAGTCTCCAGTTATGAGAAAAACTAAAGGTTATGGTTTGATTGTCAACATTGTGCTACTGAACTAAGCCGGTGCCTTCATAGAGATTGAATATTGTTGTTTCTGTTAATTTTCTGATATTTATGGCAAATCTTCCCAGAAATCTAAATTCAAGTACAAATTTGGTAGCCTGTCATTTGGCTGATGCAAGGAAATTTTGTGGAACCTCAGTAGAGCTCCTGGGACACTCCACAAAGTTTCTCCCTTTCCTCCTGGGAAGGCATTAGATGAATTTGTTCTATTTGGCTTTTACCTAATGAAGTAAAACTGGAAGGGAAGCATTGTCACTTGGGAAAATGGTAAAACTTTGGTATGTACAGAAATGTTAACAGTGGTTTTCTAAAATGTGTATAAAAAAAAAAACCTCTCAGTATAGGGTATGTATGTAAATTGTCATTGGTGATTGTCACCTTGTAATATTGTATAATTCAATTGTTTCACATCTACAGAAATTGTTTCTGGAAATACAGGGAGAAAAGGTCTCAACAGATTCCTATTGATGGAACTGTTGAGAGTAAAAACTTTCCTACAAAGGACTGAATAGACCTGGAAATACACCTGACATTTACTAAGTTTCTTTGACATAATAACTGGTAATTTTTTATGCACTTTGTCCTGAATCCACAAAGTTTTTGTTTTGTTTTGTTTTGTTTTGTTTTGTGTAACCAGGATCTGCAGCAAGGTTGCAATTTTTTTTCCAGCAAAGCTAACTTATCACATTTTCTCTCCCCTTGATACCAACACAGCATACAAATAGTGGTAGTAATTTTTGCTACGTATCTCAGAGTCTGTTTTTGCATAACTTCCACAGGGATTTTGTCTGCTTAAACAAAAAATTGGACGTGAGTTTGATTGTGTGGCTTTGTGTGGAGTTCTTCCAGAAAGTTGAAAAAGAGCTGAACCAAGAAGAGGAGAACCTGTTTGCCTTGTTTGTAGGGTTCCAGAGACCTCCAAAGAAGGTGAGGAAGCTTGCCTCCATTGGCAGGACTGGACAACCCGGCCAACGAAAAAGCCCTGGTACCCTCGAGAAGAGGAAGCCCAGGTGGAGTCCGATGAGACCAACTTTGTTCCTGAAGCCTACATCGACCGGATGCCACCGGTTCGCTCTGATCCTATATGGAGTATTTCAACAAAGCCAGCTAAAATTGCTGTTAGTTATTTCTGCCCTGTGATTTTATGCAAAAATAGGAAAAATGGTTTAAAAGTAGATTTAGTTTGCAAACTTTTGCTATGCTGTTAAAAGTTTGGGATCAAGGTTGAGAAAAGTTGTGTTTTACATCAGTTGAACCATTTTAAGATTTTTTTTCCTGTGATTTTGACATATCTGCTGTCTTGTTTTGGCTAATGCCTCCGGATGTTTGGTTTTTGTTTTTGTTTTTGTTTTTTTTTTTTTTTTGGCTTGAACTGTTGAACTGTTTTTCCAGGAATAGAGGACTTTTGCTTTCCGCAATGGACAAATACCTGGAGGGACTGGTTTTCTTTCACACTGGAACCTGGTAAAAATGTTCATCTGAGACTGCATCCCAACATCCATATATTCGATCTTCATCACCATGGAAATGGTGGCATAAAGTGAAAGAAGGGAATTGTTAGGGGGAAAAGGCTGTCCTAAAGCTCATTCCATCCAGGCTTTGTGGACTCCACCCCCACCCCAGGCCAAAGCCAAAGACACTGGGAACTCCACATCCCATCACCACCCAAGGGAAGGTGGCTGGGACCTGAGGGTGGGGTTCAGCAGCCAGGAGTGGTATAAAGCCAGACACGTGGACTTTGGGGGGGGGGGTCCCCCATTTTGGCTCTCCGCCAGCTCGCAGCGTCCGGCCAGCTCTGAGAGTGACTTTGGGTTTCCAGGTCGGCGAATCGGGTAGGACACATTAAAGACTTTATTTTCCCATTTTCTCCCTGAGTTGTACATTTTCCTTATTTCTTTTTCCCTTGTAAATAAACCTTTTATGAACCTTTCGTGTGTGCCTGCAGTGGAGTATTCATAAGTCCCTTGTAAGCGCCGCAGGTGGGGACCCACAGCCAGGAACCCGTTCAATATCGGGGCTGCCCTGTAACACTGCCTGGCCGGCACCCACAGGGTGAGCGGAGAGAACCACCGGAGCCTGACCACAAACAGGTGGGGGGGCTTGTCTGAATCCAGCTGCTGCATCCAGACTTGCTCCAATACATGAACAACAGGTTGAACCTGACTGGAGGGGGCCAGCTCTGCTTGCAGCCTCCTGACCACAGGGCCTGGGGCACGTCACAGTTTCTTGAGGTCAAAGACCCAGGCCTCGGGCCCGGGAGAAAAGCCTCTCACTCCCAGCTGGGGGACTTGGCTTCCAGAGCTCGTGCCCGGCCTCCAGCCCTTCCTGCGACCCGCAGCCCCCTCCAGCTCTCCCTGGTCTCTTGGCTGCTGACCTCTCCAGGGGCCTGCGGTTGTGAAAGGCACGCGGGGTGGCTGAGAGTGGCCGCCTGAGCGCGCACCCAGGGAGGGGTGAACAACCTCAGCTCCGGACCCAGCCCAGGGTCTGGGCAGCAGGAGGGAGGAGTAGGAGGGAGGGAGGGGGGTTTGCTCCTCCCTCCACCCACGGCCCCTCCGGCGTCCTGGTGAATCCTCTGGAAGGACCCGGGGTGCCAGGGTCACACCAACAGGTCTCCTTGGGGGAGCCCTGAGGGCGCTGTGCGGGGCCCGAGGAGCAGGTGGCAGCGTCGCCCTGCACCCCCGCCCTTGGCTGTGCCTGGCAAGCGCCTGGGCTCCAGGGGTCCCGGCGAGGCCGGCGAGCGCGGCGGGTGCCCCGTCGAGTCGAGGGCAGCGCGGGGTGCGCGGCAGGCGGGCGCCTGGGGTGACTCTCCCGCCTCCCCCACCCGCCGCGCCCACCCCCCGGGCGGGGGCGGCCGCGAGCTGCGGGGCGGGGAGGCCGGGCCGGCGGAGGGCAGGGCCGGCGCGCGGGGGCCGCCTCCGGGAGCCCCGCTCGGGCCGGGACGGCGGGGACCGCGCGCCCTCGGGCCGGGCGCATGGGGCGCGCGCGCGGCCGGCTCCCGTGGCTGCTGCTGCTGCTCGCGGCCGCCGGCTCGGGGGCCCTCCTGGCCCTGTACTCCGCGGCGCTGCGGCGGGCCCCGGGGCCCCGGCTGGGAGCCAGGTAGGAGCTGCCCGGGAGGGCGCGGGGGGCGCGTGGGGGCGGCCTGCCCGGGGCTCCGGGGGTGGCTCGCGGCGGGCACCCCCGCTCCTCGGGGTGCGGAGGCGCTGCCCGGGCCCGAGGGGAGCCCGCGCGCGCCCCGCGCCTCGCCCGGCGCGTCGACCCCTGCGCTCGCGGAGACGCCCCCCGGGCCGCGGCGTCGGGGCTGGACGGCGCGGGGCTGGCGCGGAGCCCCCTCCGGAGCGGGTCCTCTGCGCCCCCCTCCCGCCGCCCCCCCCCCCGCCCCGCGGGCTCGGGTGTTTACTCGGTGAAGCGCCGGGCCCTGCCCGCGGGGCGGCGAATCCCGGGGAGCAGGGGCGCGCCGGGCCCCTCCGAGGTCCCCCCGCTCGCCCGCACCTTCCTCTCCCCGCGCTGCGGAGGAGAAGCCCCGGAGGCTGCCTCGGCGAGGCACGTCCCAGTGAAGTACCCCAAAACCGCTCAAGGACTTAGTGGACTTCTGGGAGGCGGCCGGGCTGTGCCCAGAGCCTGATTTGGGGAGCTCGGAAGGGCCCGCAGCCTGGTGGAGAGGCCCCGGGGCCCGGTGTTCCCCGTCCCCGCGCCTTCCCCTGCTCCCTCGGCTCCCAGCCCTGCTCCGGGGGCGCAAAGCGCAGCTCCGGGGAGAGCAGGCAAAGGTCACTCGAGCTGCAAACACAATACCAAGTGTGCTCGCGCGAGCAAGGACCCTCCCTTCGGAAAAAAGGTCCTCGGTTCTGACGCCTGAGGTTACTTTGGCTCCTGGTAGTCGGAAATTGCTTAAGAAGGCGCAATAAGGGCTGTGGTGCTCAGGAACGGTGTCCTGGGGCCTCGCTGGTGGCGCAAGGGGCTAAAGCTCAGCGCTTTGAGGCTATGGGCAGCCTGAGTTCGATCCCCGCCCGGCCAGGGAGCTACCCCCAGGGCGCGGCAGACCTGGCCTGTCTCCCCGCTGCTCCCCACAGCAGTGGATTTCAGTGGATCTGCCTGTTCTGCTCCCCACTCTGTCTCTGTGAATCCTCTCACCTCCGAGCTACACCCCAGCTCTTGTCTGCATAAATACATCTTTTAAAGCAAAAGGAAAAAGAAAAGGAAACGGTATCCTGATCAACTTTGGGTAAAGAGGTTTTCGAACACAAACATCCTTTGAAAGTATCTGATTCCGGGTCACTAGGAAGCCAGTGGAACAATCTCCATCCCTCCACCAGGCTTTTGTTTCAGGATCTTTCATCCTTTGAAAATCTAGCAGCCCAAGAACAGTTCCTTGTTTCCTTTCTGAGGCAGCTTAAGCCCAGGGCAGCGGGTGGGGACTCATCCCGCCCTGGGAGTGGGGATTGAGTGCCCCAGCAGCCCCGTGGGGGAGGCTGGCATGGGGAGCCCGGCTGCAGCTGGGACCCCCCTGAAGAGGGCTGCGAGCAACTGGACCCTTTGCAGCAACGTGGGGACCAGCGGGCAGGGGCGGGGGCTCTAACAGCAGGTTGGAGCGTGGAACCCAGTCCAGGAAATCACAGAAGAATCTGGATCAGTAGTTCTCAGATATGGGAATTTCTAGATTTGTAAAAAAAAAAAAAAAAAAAAAATTAGGAAGGAGGGGTGAGGGCAGATATGGGGCCCTAGTTATGGGCAGTTCCCATCTATTGTCAACACTGTTCCGTAAGAGAGAAGACGCTTTCGGGTCAGGAATTCCTAAAAGTACATGACATAAACCCGGCAGCACGTCGGCTTCCAGGAGCCTGCACGGCCGCCCGCGCCTGGCAAAGCCTCCCAGCGAGCTCCCCAAGCAGGTGTCCGGGGGCCCGTGGTTGCTGAGAGGGGAGAGCTGGCCAAGTCCCAGCACAGGGGTGCCCTGGGATGAGCAGGCCCCTGAAATTAAAGCAGTTCAGGGCAGCAAAACTGAATGGGGGTGGGGGCAGATGCCCCATCTCCTCCTGGCGGCTCTGCCCTCTGGCTCTGTTCTGCCCCCTTTCACTTCCCTCGGGTCTGGGGCCAGGCTGCACCTTAGAATCGCCTCCAGGTGCCCAGACCCAGCATTTCCGAATTTCTGGGGCGGGCCCCAGGCAGGGTGCTTTTCAAAAGCTCCCTGGGGCGCTGCCTGCCACTTAGGCTCAGTACCATGTGCCAGTTATTGCTGAGAAGGGGTTCTGGGGTGCTCAAGGAGAAGACTACAGGAGGATATGGGTGGGCAGGGGCCCAGTTGGAGACGGGGGTGGGGGGGTGTGGGGTCAGCCCTGCTCTCCCTGGCCCGGAGAGGCAGGTCTCAGCTCCCTGGTGGCACCACTGTCTGAGCAGCGATAAGCAGGTAACAAGGGGCCTTTGTTCCCCCTCGCAAGCTGTGCGTCCAGAATCCTCCCCACCCGCTCCCCTGTGGCTGTAGCAGCAGAGAGGCCGGAGGCTGGGAGAAGCCTCACCATCCTTTGAATGGGCCAGGGCCCCTTCCTTTCTGTCTGTCCTCTGCCCTCTACCGGGGTCTCCTGGGGGCGGGGGCAGGGCAACACTAACCCAGCGCCCGCAGGCCCTTACGCTCCTCCCTTCAAGGCCAGTAGCTGACATTTACAGAGCAGATTCAGCCCGACGGCTGGATGGCACACCGTGTGTCCAGCGCCTCCATTGTCCCCGCTGTCCAGATGCACACACAAGGTTCTGAGGAACCACTAGCTTCCAGAACTCAGGGGGTACGAACCCGAGAGGTCAGGCTTCAGACCCAGGCCTTTGCCAGAACCTGCAGAGCAGGGGCCGGGAGCCAGGAACGGGGCAGGCCGGTCCACGCCAGTGAAGGGGCCACATCATCTGAGGCTGGACGCCTACACCTGGGGCCTTGGCAGGGAGACCCCCCAGAGGGTGACATTCCAAGGGGGGCTGTTTTAGGTTTTCATCTTTTCACCACCACCTCACCATTCCTATAAACTCTGCGTTCCTACTGCTTGCCAAGGGGGTGCTAGGTCTCTGGCTTCCTCAGTGGGGCAAAGCAAGACCGTGGGACGGTGTCCTGTCTGCCTGAAGACACCCAGGGCAGGAATCAGGCGTAGGAATGCAAGGATCAGAGTGGACACCTTTGACCCTGATGGCTTTATCAGCCCTGGGAGCCAGCGAGTCAGAAGCTTCCAGAGGCAGATTGGACCCTGGACAGACGGAGCCCAGCCTGACCAATTTACTTCTCTCCCCCCACCACCCCCCAGGAACACCACATCATCTCGAGCGTTCTCTGGGCCCAAGACATGGAGTTCTAGGACGGGAAAGGTACGGGAGGAGACCCGGGGGTGGCCTAGCCGCCCTCAGGCTGTGGGAGGAGGGAGGAGCCAGAGGAGAAGGGTCTCGTGAGGTTTCCAGGCAGGAAGCGGGCAGCGGAGCAGGCAGCGGTCTCAGCTCTCGGGCCTGGCCTCTGGGGCCTCTGTGCTCCGGAGGGAGGGTGAGATGTGCCCTGGGGCTTGGCCAGCTGAAAAGCTCTTGTAACTCATCTTAAGAGTCCCGTGAGTTTTATGTTCTACTCCTCAAAATGCCTTTTTACTATTAACACGCCGCTGAGATTGCTGACCAGGGAGTGAACACCAGGCCCTGGGGCGATACTCCTGTCTGCGCAGAGGGTTCGAGACCCCTCCGGGGCCCTGCTCTGCAGCTGGCCCTGCTCCCAGGGGCCGCCCACGGCGGCACCCTCTCAGGGCTTTGCCTGAGTCCTTGCTCAGGCCTCAGGCGGCCCTGGGTGAGGACACTCACCGGTGACCAAAGCAAGGCACGGGCTCAGGCCCCTGGCTCGGGGCACCCTGCGGCCTGAGCGCCTGGCTCTGTGGCCGTGTGCGGGACAGCCGCCACTGGGCTGCGGGCAGCAGGGCGAAGGCTGGTTAATTGGGAGTAAGAGCGGTTACGAGTGCTCAAGAGGCGGACGGGGACTTGTTAACTGAGGCGGCAGGGAGAGGGTCCACTGCCCCCGGGACTTAGCTCGGCTCCCCAGGGACAGAGCGGTCAGTCCGTCCCCCTCCGCTGGATCCCTGCGGGCGGGCTCCTCCCAGGGCTGCAGGAATGAGCACAAACTGGAGGGAACAAGAGAAATATCTTCTCTCACAGTGCTGGACACCGGAAGTCTGAAGTCAAGGCTCTAGGGCAGGGCCCTTCCTCGCCTCTTCCGGCTCTAGGTGGCCGCAAGCTTCCTTGGCTTGTGGCCTCAGCGCTCCCCTCCCTGCCCCTGTCGTCACGTGGGCCTTCTTATAAGGACACTGTGGGGCCCACCTTTATAAGGTGTGGCCTCCTCTGAGCTACATCAGCCAAGGCCCTGTTTCCAAATAAGGTCCCCTCCTGGGGTTCTGGGTGGGCAGGGATTTTGGAAGGACTCTACCCAACCCAGTGTAGGGCGCCTCCTGCAAGAGATGTCGCAGCTCTTCCCAGCAGTCTGTCCACACGAACCCTCATCAGAGCCCGGGTGCAGGTCCAAGGTCCAGGTGGGCTCCTCCGCCAGGGAGCGGGCAGGTCCTCCCCAGTGTGAGCGGCCCCAAAGCGTCGCCAGGTGTGAGGTGATGGAGTCAGAGGCCGAGTCTTCAGGCCACAGTGATCCAGGAGAAGGGCTGGGCAGAGTAAATCGAGAAAGTTCTCTGACTCCTGCCAGGCCGCTGCACCACAGATCAGTGGGTGAACCTAGTCTGGAGGGGGGAGGGAGACCCGGCCCCCGCTAACAGTGCTCAGCCTCTTCTCACCCACAGGGCCGGTCCTGCCAACACCCACTCTCTCTCACCATCCGGCAGCACCCCCACTTCCGGGGCCGGTTCAATCTCTCCACTCCGGTGCTGCTGTGGGGGGGGCTCTTCACGGAGGAGCTCTGGGCCAGCCTGAGCCGGCACAAAGCCCCCTATGGCTGGCAGGGGCTGTCTCGCCAAGGTAAGCAGTGCCCCGCCCCCCCGCCAGCCTCTGCCTGTCTCCCCCACTGCTGGCCCTCGTGCCTCTGCCTCACAGCACTGGGGAGCGGCAGGTACGGTACCCCGTTCCTCCCAGGAGAGTCTCAGGGCTCTACCCCTACCGCCTGTGGTTCCTGCCTTAGCTCCCCATCCCACAGGCACCCCCAGTCAGAGAGGGGCTGTGGCCCCCCCAGCTCAGCAGCTCTGCCCATCTTGGGACCTGCTGGAGGAAAAGCGCCAGAGTCCAAGGTGGCCAAGGCAGGGGTTTCGGGGCGTCCGACGGCCTGCTGCAGCGGCCAGCATGGGAACCCCCCAGAGCCCTCCCGGGTAAACCCGCCACCATGCCCACCCCGCATGCCTCTGCTTCTTGTCTTTTGGAGTCCACAGTCTCTAGTGGACTCGTTCAAGTTCCCGAGGTGACTGGGCGCAGCAGACACCCGCCCCCCGGCCTCAGTTCTCAGGCCCCACTCACCTTCCCTTCTCCGCGGCTCTTGGGGGGGCTGGCGTCGGGCAGGCGCCAGAACAGTGGCCCCCCTGACCGCCCTCCCCCCTGCCCGCCTTGCCCCGCACCCACAGCCGTGGCCTCTACCCTGGGCCTTCTCAACAGCTCGGACAGCGCCCAGCTGCTGGCCAGGTCCGGGCAGCGGCCCCCCCGCTGCACGCGCTGCGCCGTGGTAGGCAACGGGGGTGTCCTGAATGGCTCCCGCCAGGGGCCCCACATCGACGCCCACGACTACGTGTTCAGGTATCCCGGGCCAGAGCCGGGAGCAGAGGGGGGAGCTGGGCCGAGGGCTGGGCCCCAGCCAGTGTGGGGGGCATCTCCTGCGAGGGCCGTGGGCAGGGAGGCTCCAGCCTCGGGCAGCGAGGGGTGGCCCCGGCAGACAGGCAGGGACAAGGAGTGCAGTCGGCCTGAAGACGGGGCGTGGGTGCTGGTGCCAAGGAGACCAGGGAGGAAGCTGCCACCGGGGCCGGATTTTCCCAGGTCACAGCGCGCCCCTCGAGGGCCGGAGAGTGGGGGTCAGGCGGGAGCGGTCACGCTAAGGGCAGGGGAGCCGTCGTGCTCCTGTGGGGACAGGCTGGGAGAACCCCTGGGCGCGGAAGTGCAGACGCGGGGCAGGATGTCACTGCAAGGCTCCGGCCTCTCTTGGGCCCAGGCTCAATGGCGCCGTGATCAAAGGCTTCGAGCAGGACGTGGGCACCAAGACCTCCTTCTATGGTTTCACCGTCAACACCATGAAGAACTCCCTCATCTCCTACCGGCACCTGGGCTTCACCTCCGTGCCCCACGGACAGGTAAGGCCTCCCGTGGGGACACCACTGTCCCCGAGCCACCCCGGTGGGCTGGGGCACCGCAGACGGAGCCACCAAGAAGGATCTGGTGGGCAGGGATGCCCGGGAAGCCTGGAGTGGCGCGTGAGTGGCTTAGATCCACTTTGCAAGGTGGCACACCAGCCACCTTACATAACTCGGGGTCACACCCCAGAGGAGACTGAGGCTCCGCCCCTTTGGCCAGCAAAGCCAAGGCAGGGCCAGATCATTCCAGACTGCCTTCCGCCGCTCGCCGCCCTCCATGCGTCCTCCCTGGCTGCCTGGTGCCTGGTCCTTGCAGCAACCCCTTTCCAGATGGCCCCGTGGCAAAGGCCACCCAGCTAGAATCAGCAAAATGGAGGCCTCTGGTCAAAGCACAGGGGTGGTCGCCCTGTTCCCACCAGGAGGAGGAGGGTCCCCCTGAATTTTCCCAGGAGCCAGCACAGGAAACTGAGGCTCAGAGTCCCACGATGTGCTCCCGCACACCCCGAGGCCTCCCCTCCAGCGCCGCCTGGGTGTGGGACTCGGGGTTCCCTCAGGGGAGGGTGCTCCACAAGCTAGTCGGGTTTCTAGAAGCTTCCTCCTCTCACCAGGGAGTTTAAGAGTGTCCTGGCCGCAGTCAAAGCACCGAGACCTCACGGCAGAACCTCTCGACTCCTGATAGACCAAAGCAGGCCACAGTACCCGCATGACCTATTGACATCTAACAAGTTACCCCAAAACTTAGTGGGCTTAAACCACAAACATTATCTCACAGTTGAATGGGCGGGAGTTGGGGGGCAGCTTAGCGGAGAGATGTTGTGCAGGGTCTCTGGGGTGACTGCAGCCAGGGTGGCCGTGGCCAGCCTGGCCCTCGGGGGTGGCCAGTGCGTCTTGGAGACAAGCAGCTGCCTCACCTGGAGCGAGCGATCCCAGACAGCAAAAGCGGCTGATGTCCGTCACCACCACCTTTTCTCATTCATCAGAAAGATTCTGCCCATTGCTAAGCCGAGCCCGTGCTCGGGGGCGGGGTGGGGTGAGGGGGGTGGCAGTTAAGCTGCACCTCCCGACCAGAGTGGCGTCGAAGGGCTGGGGAACTGCACTGAGCCACGCAGTGGCTCAGAGTGGGCGCCCAGGGCAGCAGGACTGGTGGGGGCTCCTCCCTGGCGGGCTGGGGGACCCTGCTCCCCGGGGCTCAGTGCCTCTGTTGGCCCAACAGGACCTGCGCTACATCTTCATCCCCTCAAACCTCCGGGACTACGTGATGCTGAGATCAGCCATTCTGGGGGTGCCTGTCCCTGAGGGCCCTGATAAAGGAGACAGGTGAGCTGCTATCGGGGGCAGGGCTTAGGTAATGCTGGGGTCATCTCCCCTTGCTCCTCGGGGGCTCAGTGGGTGGAGAAGATGGGGAAGGCAGCAAAAAAAAACCCCAAGAGTCCAACAGAGTGCTGGGCAGTCACGATATTTCGGACCCCCAGGAGAGCCCAGGTAGCCCGACCGGTCCCAGGTAGCCCTCCTGACGGGGTGGGCTTCAGGCCGAGGGCCTTTTTTCCGAAGCGGCCTGGCTCCTCAGCTTCAGGCTGTTGTCCCTGTCACCCACCAGCCTCCGCAGGGACCGCCAGGGCCGGGGCCATGGTCCTATGAGCACCTGGTGCCCGGAGAGCCTGGGGGCTGGTACCCGCGCGGCTTGTCCCAGCAGGCGCCTCCCCACCCCAGGACACGGCCATGAATGGGAGAGCAGGCTCCGGGGACCCTGCAGGCCCTGCGTCCCGACTCCTCTCCCCACCGTCCTGGGCGGCGGGCCTGTGACCACACCCCGGCCCTCAGCCGCGTCTTCTCCCTCCCGGTGCCCTGGCAGCTCCCGTCCCCGAGTCAGGGCCTCATAAATCTATGCCTGACAGAACCCCAAGGTGCTCATTGGGTGGGGTGAAGCCCTCCAAAGCCAGGCCATGTCCACGGGCCCCGCCCCCACGCTGGTGATGACCCAACAATCACTGGCCGGGCTGCGGCCCGTCGTGAGGGTGGGCTTTGTGACACGGCAGGCAGACCGGGCTCTTGGGGGGCTGGCCCAGAGGCATCGGGTGGACATAGCCTCTCCATCACCAATGAGCTCCCCCTCCCACACCCCTATTCCGTCCCCCACCCAGTCCCCCTCCCAGTCCCGCTCCAACCACATCGTCAACTCGAACAGCCAGCAGCCCTTCCCCAGCTCCGGAGGCTCAGCCCCGTCCCCCTCCCCCACTCGGGGGTCTTCCTCCCGCCCCCCCTCTCACCCGCCCACCCCAACCACCTCACAGCCCTCTTCCCGGGCCTCCTCGCTGACCCCCAGCCCGCACATCCAACATGTGCCTCGAGGGTCCAGCCAAACCCCCACACCCCCGGCTTCCAAGTCCCCCTCGCAGTCTGGTTTGAAGGCTCCTTCTAGAAACCCCTCCCTCACGCCCCCTGTGCCCATCGCCAAGTCCCCTGTCACCTCGTCTTCCTACATCGGACCCATTCGGAGCATCCCGTCCTACATCACCCCCTACGTGCCCCGCTTCCTGAAGGAGCCTCCCTTTTTCCAGCCCCCCACCTCAACGCTTCCGATTCCCCAAAGCCAGTGCTCCCTCTGCTGCAGGTCCCGTCCGTGCTCCCCTCCCCCGCCCCCCGACTCTCTGTACCTCCCTCTTCTGCCCCCCCCACCCCTGCAGCCCCGGGACCACTGTAACTACCCCACCCCCCCTGCTCTCTTCACACCCCCTTCCTCTCTGACCTACACCTTGCCCCCCGAAGTCCTTCTGGGTAGCAAGCCACACGTGGTGCCCACGGTGCTGCCCGCCACCTTCTACACCCCCTTCTCCCGCTTCTACTCCCAACCCCGCCCCCGCCGCTCGCTGCCCCGCCGGCGCCCCAGCGTGGTGCCCCTCTCCTTGCAATACGACGCGGGGGCCAGTCGCTCTGTCCACTTCTACCGTGGGTGCTAGGCCGGAGACCTACTTCGGATCAGAAGCCTCTGCCAGCAAATTCAAGCTGCTACACCCGGACTTCATCAGCTACTTGACGCAGAGGTACGTGGGGCGGGCGTGCGGGGTGCCGGGATGGAGCTCCCCTGCCAGCCCCCCACACCTGCCCCAAGGGACAGTGGCCCTGCCCGGTGGGCCCTGCAGACCACAGCCAGTAGCGAGTGCCACGGCCAGCGCTTGGTTTTGCTCTGTCTCCTGCCTCAGGGGAGGTGCTGCTGCCGGCCAGGCCCGCGGGGCGCAGACGGGAGACCCAGGGGAGCCAGGTCTGCGCTGGCGCCTTTATGAGGCAGAGGCTTGGTGTGGGCACCGGGGCCGAGTGCAGCCTGGGCTGTCGGAAGCAGAGTTGGCCTCACCTTTAGGCCCAAACACAGCCAGTTCAAGGCCACCCAAGGGAGGAGCGGCCTGGGGAGCCGCCTGCTCAGTCCCCTCTCCCCCCGCAGCGCCCCATCCCTCCTTCCAGAGGCTCCTGCTGTCTCCTGTCTGGAAACATTTGTGGCTGCAAGTCTCACTAGTGTGTGGATGCCCCTGGGCACCCCACAAGGCATAGGGAGGCCCCGTGGAAAGGAATTATCTGGCCCTGAATGTCAACAGTGCCCGGTTCAGCCGGGCAGTGGCTCAGAGGCCAGCACCCCAGAACAGAGCGCAGGTGAACAGCGTAGGGGGTGGGGGGGCACATGGGAGACCTAGTGACAGCCCCAGGCGGAGAGGCCAGGGGGTTTGCCTGGTGAGGCTTAGATGTGACCCCCGGGGTTGAGGCCAGGGCCCAAGGTGACCATACTGGGGCCCCGATTTTGAACTCTGTGAACGCATCATCCCGTGTGGCTGTGCCTCGCACACGTGCGCCCGGGGCCCGCCGGCTGCCCTGCACACCTGACTGCTGTTGGGTCAAAGTCGGGGGGTAGAGAAACTTGTGTCGCCCACGCCCCGGAGACTTAGCCCAGGGCCAGAGCAGGTGGCTGCAGGGAAGGCGAGATGGCAGAATCACTGCTTCCAGGGAGAAGGGGAGGGAGCTCGCTGGCTCTTCTGGGTGGGTCTGTTCCTTTCTCCACCGCCCCCCCACCTTTGCTCTAAGGTGTTATTTCAACCAAAGAATTTTGCAGTTAGGAGTTCACCTGGGTTTTCCCCACTAGGAAGCTGATTGGGGCGGGAGGGCCAGAAGATAGCCCAATTTCCGACCTGTTCACGAAGTGAAATGGCCGTCGTGCCCCGTTGCTTCCAGGTTTTTGAAATCAAAATTGATCACAAACTTTGGAGACCTGTATATGCCTAGTACCGGGGCCCTCATGCTGCTGACAGCTTTGCACACCTGTGACCAGGTAAGAGGGCCTCCTGGGGAGCCCGCCGCAGCAGAGTGTAAGTGGAGTCTGGTCTGATCCATGAGCCCCTCCACAGAGCCTGTCACCCCAGACCCGGGCACCTGGGCCTCTCTCCTCTATGAGCTGCAGGAGGGGCCTGGTCTGGAGAGGGCCTTGGAGGGGGGCTGATTGTCCTCCCACCGCTGTCCTCGACCCATTAAAGGAGCTCCCGGGCCCGCCCTGCCCAGCCTTCCCCAGGGCAGCCAGTCATGCTCGGCGCCACATTATCAAGTGCTCTGCTGAAAGCAGACTGGAGATTTGGGGTTGGGGAGTCCTTTTCTGGGGCATTCTAGAACTGGGGCAGGGCACACCAAAACCTTCCCAGTCCCTGCACGGGTCCTTCCCGGGGCCAGTACGTGGGGCAAGCCCGGGCCCCGTGCGCCTCTCGGGCCCTGCTCCCACACCTTGGGTTGGAAGCAGGAGTCTCTCCCTACAGAAGGGGAGACGGGTCGGAAGGGGCTTCAGCTGCCGCCTTGGGCTTCAGGATGAGCGTGAGGCTTTGGAGCCACAGGCTGAGTTCAAAGCCCAGGCGGCGACTCACTCGCTGAGTCTGTTTCACCCTTTATAAACTGGGGGTCCTATGACAGCCTGTCGTAAGGCTGGGGTGAGCATGTCCCAAGGGCACGGTGCCCGGTACCGCCGCCGGTCCGGCCGGGTCACCCAAAGAAGGGGGTGGGGCGCGACTCCCGTCACTCAGGCTGCGCCGAGCGCCAGCTGACCCGCGGCTCTCCGTCCAGGTCAGCGCCTATGGTTTCATCACGAGCAACTACTGGAAATTTTCCGACCACTATTTCGACAGAATCAAGAAGCCGCTGATATTCTACGCCAACCACGACCTGTCCCTGGAGGCGAGCCTGTGGCGGGACCTGCACGCGGCCGGCATCCTCCGGCTGTACCAGCGCTAAGCCCGCCCCGCCGCGGGGCCCCTCTAGCTTGTCCTTCCCACCCTGAGGGGGACCGTACACCTGAACACACCTGCTGCCCTGCGGCTCCCCACCCTGGCCTTGGCTCCCTGGGGGGCGCCCCTCCGGGCCTGATGGACTTCCCAAACTTGACCAAGAAACGGCCACTCTGCCGGGTAGGGAGCCTGCGACGACACCTCTGGGCGCGCGGGCACTTCAGGAGGGTCCGCAGCCGCCGCTGGGGTCAACGTCAAGCACGGCGCAGGCAGAACCCTTCCCACCGGGCCCACCTCTAGCTCGTCCAGCCCCTCCAGCTCCAACGCAGCTCAGCTCGCCTGGACCTGAGACCCGCCCGGCTTCGGCCCCGCGCTTGAGCGGGGCCACGGGAGGCAGAACGCAGCCGGGAGCCAGGTACCTGCGCGAGCGCCGCTGGCATCTCTACGGGCAGCACACAGGTGTGGGCACGATCACTGCACGGGTGTTGGAGGGCCAGCTGCCCAAGGGAAGTCCCTTGGAGATGTCGCCACCTTGTCCCCAGGGCACCGGTGACCCCTGCTGTCACACCGCGGCTTCAATAAATTGGAACCAGCTTTATAGATGGGCGGTGTCACTTGAGCGTATGTGGGCGTGTGGGCAGGTCGGAGCCACCACACCGCCCACGGAAGCCCTGGGATCTCTGTCCAGACCCAGGGCTTTGAGTCCGAAGCACTAGGCTGTAGAGAAGGTGGGGTGGGCGGAGGGAGTGTTGGGTTCCCCAAGGTGTGGCTGGCAAGGGTCTTTCCAAGCAAGGCTCACACCAGCTCAGCAGCGTCCAGGCCCTGGTGCCCGGCTCTGGAAGGCTGACCTACCAGCATGCTCCGTTAGAGGGATGAACTCAGCAAGCAGAACCGGAGTACTGCTCATTTTGGAAATTCAGAGGCGTCTTGTACACAAAATGGCCTTTGCGCCTTGGTGACTGAGGCAGCTTCCTGCAGCCTGCAGGGCAGGGCTTATAGGGAGTTCGGTTACTGGAGCGAGGCAAGGCCCCTCAGCTCCCTTTACCTTAGCAACGCCAAACTGTCCTTGGTGAGGCCCGCAGAGCCCCAAGTATGTTTCTGTGGCCAGATCACGGCTGGATGTGGGACATACAGGGCGCCCCCACGCCCCGTGAGCCCATTCTCGCATGCACAGTGACCTGTAGTGAAGAAACCCGGTGACCCAGGTGACCCAGCACGGCGCAAACCCAGGCCCCTTTTTATCCAGAGGTTCCTTTTCTTTATTTCCACATCTGTAGTTCTCAGAACCTGTCAGCCATCACATCTGAGAAGTGCTAAAGCTGTTGGTGGCAACCCATGAGGGGCACAGAATCAGTTCACTGGGGAAACCAATCTGCTCTCACCCCTGCAGCTGGACCAAGCAGGACTCTGACGCGCCTCGTGTACCGAATCCCAACACGACACTGTTTCCCACGTGGGTTTTCAACCTGAAAGCCACACGCTAGTATATCAGTCTGTAAACTTTATTTGTACTTCAAAACTTAAGCCCAAGATACAAGACCTCACGGGAAATCCCCTGAAACCCCCCAGGCGGAGCATGTCTCTGCCGCCAAGAGACCGGTCCCATCGGTCTCATCGGGCAGCGCCATCAGCGTGTGGAGCCCGCCCGGGCACCCCGGCCTTGAATTCGGGAGCTCTTAGCTGTGCCCCAACCTCACTGACTGCCGAAGACTGTCCAGGATACCTCATGTCATTTGAATTCTTTAGCTACTGTTGACAACGAAGTCTAGAGTGACTCACTCATCTTTGGGGGGACAGTTTTATCAGGGCAGCAATGAGCAGTGCAGGATGTGCCAACCCCACTGGCACTGGCGGGGAGCAACCTGTAAAACAAAAGATTCACTGATTAACAGTCACATGATTCAAACGAAGCTACATTTATATAAGCTGGGAGTGAGGTGCTGGCCTGGGCTCTTGTCCTAACTAGGTGTGCCCAAGAGCACCATCCCCGTTCCCGCGCAGGCTGCGGAGCTCCCGGAGGCCCTGCACAGCTGCTGTCTTGATGCCATGTCTGCATCAAGAGCGACCACGAGCACAGGGCTCTTCTGTGCTCAACCCTCACTGGGTAGAAAACCTTTGTTGTCAGACCTGCCGCTTACTGACGTGCACCCAGACGCTGACCAGAGCCCAGATTCCCCAAGTCCTTTCCATTTGACTTACCGGCTGTAAGATGCTGGGGCCAGCCCCCCTCTTCCATCGCACCCCTGCTCTGGTTTTCCCATGACCAAACAACTATGTGGCCTTGAATATAAAGAACCTGCACATACCTCCCATTTTCAACAGAAAAGGCCCTCTGTGCCCACTTCAAGCCTGACATGTACCTGGGAACAAAGCCAGCTGAGTACCACTTGGCTGCCTGAGGAGCAGGGCCAGCGTGGGGGGCACACCGGGATGGTAAAGCACCCGGAAACCAAACCACTCTGCCTTGCTGTGTGCGGGACCCGGCACAGGGCCGAGAGGGCAAACACAACCCCAAGCGTTCTGACAGCCACTTTACCTTCCCCTTCGCGTTCCTGACCTAGGTGACATACGCTTTCATTCCACGTAAAAGTCTAAACCAAACCCAGGCTACATGCACGTTTCTGTCATCTTGACAGCCTGCAGGCGGCGCCTCTCTCGGGGCCGAGAGGGGACAGCCACACCAGTGGCCTCCAAGTTGCAGAGCGGAGACGCCGCAGACTGGGGTCTCAGCAGGGCACACACAATTCCCTCTGGGCTCCCATCACCGTGAGCCCTATAAAGGCTGAGCTTCTCGTAAGAGCACAGGCCACGCCCCCAAGCCTCAGAGAAGATTGTTTTCCCTCAGCAGACTTTCAGACAGGGATAACCATCCATCACAGGCTTGTGGGGTCTCAGGGACGCTGCAGATGGAAACATAAGAGCTTACCAACAACCCGAGGGGCGTTGTATCCCTCTTCAGGCAAAGCAGTTCAGGGCCTCACGCTTCAGACATCTAGAAGGGCAAACAAGTCTGTGAGTCTCCCCGCGCCAAGTCCAGGGCAGGGGAGGCAGGAAGGACCCCCCACACCCAGGCCTTTCAGGCTTCTCTACTCACAGGCACCAGGCATCTCCTGCTTGTCCCGAGTCCAGGAAGGCTGACATGTACCGCTACAGTGTTTTCTGGAAGGTCCTTTTTCAGCCCCATGGACCTGAGAAATCCCCCAACCCCCCCAAAACAAACAAACAAACAAACAAAAAAAAAAACATTCAAAAGATATACACCACTAACTGGCAAGTCGCTTGCTTTTAATCAGGCCTAAATTTTCTAGGAAGCTACTTGGGAAACTGAGTTTCAGACACCAGAGTCCACACAGGAAGGCCTCTCTCGGCCTTCAGACAGGGATAACTTGACATCATCATGCACTCAGCTCCCAGCTGGCACCAGCCTGCAGCACAGGCAAGTCCCTTTCCTTACCAAATTTCCTCTGCTTCCTCATGAGAACTCTCACCCCAGCCTGTCTACTTTACTAGAATACACTCTCGAGATCTCAAGGGCAAACCTATTTTAGCTAGCGCCCGGAGCGCCCAGCATCCGGATCTGGCACAATGATAGCTCCTACCCGTTCAAAGACAGGGTTTCCCTCCACACAGAGCGCCCGAGAGCCTAGTATGGAGTGCATGTTCCAGTCTCTCCGGTGTCAGTAAAAGGCCACATTTTAAAGCATCCCGACTTTCGGGCAACCTGCTGGAGGCCGGCCACAAAGGTCACCGCTTCTAAGAGGCATCACACAGGTCCTTTCCCTCCCTGCAGAGCAGGCGTGACGCCTTCAGCTTTAAGCCGCAGGAGTATTCAGCTGTCCTGAGAGCCACTTAAAAATAGCCAGTACTACAGTCTCGGAGTTACAAATACCCCTGAGCTGAAAGCAGGTGAACTCATCTACATAACTGTTCCCACACACACGCTCGTAACGAGCCCCACGATTCGTGGACCCCCCTCTAGGGCCACTCTCACCCACTGGGGGAGGGGTGTCCAGGAATGTGTGATATGGAGGAGTCCTGATGTACAGCTAAATTTGGAAACCACTGACCCAGTCTGACAAATGAAGAAATAACAGTCAGATGGGGTCATCTGGTCACAGGCTGAGACTTGTGCCCAGACAGTCTCCCAAGTAAGCCGGGTTTCTCCACATCAGCCCACGGCCACTGTGTGGGTAGCTCTCGGTTGTCGGGGCTGCCCTGTGCATGGGACAGATTGTTTCGTATGCTCCACCCCTAGTCCGGAACCCCTGGTCTAAATAACTAGCCTTCAATTAAAAACAAAAAACAACTAAGCCTCAGTTTACCTGCTCCGCAGCAGAGGCAGACTCTGTACCCACAAAGGAGTGTCATAACGAGGCTGTATGAGCACACTGAGCAAGAAGCCCAGACGAGCTCTACACAACTCCCCTTATCTGGGGAGACCCACAATCTTCAGCGTCTAACAGACCGCTATTTAATGGAATCATGACCTATACAAATCTTAAAAATCTAAAATCTTACCATGTATATAAATTTCAACACGAAGCTCTTTAAGCTCAACATCCTAAGTGACGACGCTCCACCCGAGACTTGAAAAAGACCTTTAAGAGAGAAACACAGAGAACACTTCATTCTAACAGAAACTATCTTAAAATATTTATTCTCCAAATTGCCATTTTTAAAAGTTGAGCCTCAGCAAGTCAGGACTCCTCAGATGTCCTTTCAGACAGGGATAACTTTAAATCATCCTCAGCTCAACCAGCCTAACGAATCTTTACTTAGATCCCAGTGTCTCCCTTCCTTCCCCGCATGCAGCCACCACATTTCAAACAGTGACACCTAGTGGCTCCAAATTACACTGGCACAGACCCTCCTCATTCGTTTCTGGGTTGATTTCTTTTTTACTTTTTTTTTTTTGGTGGGGCCCTCTGGGTTGATTTCTTACCCCAACTGGACTTCATAATATCAAACTTAATGTCAGAATAAAGTATGCGGCCCTGGCATATGATAGGCCTCCAGACCACCTCAGCTTTCTCACTTCTGGTGACAGTGAACATATTGTAAACCATCTGTGATACACACACACTCTCTCTCTCTCTCTCTCTCCCCCTCTCCCCCCTCCCTGTCTAGCAGGCAAGATAACAAATGCAAGGTTAGAACAGCGTTCTGTGACGAAGCCATGGAGAACCTGATACCTGCAGACAAACCACCTTTTTCAGCCTCTATGAATAACCAAGGAGCCAGCTAAGAACATTTTAACCAGGAGTACCTAGTCTTTGTGTCTCAAGGCAGTCTTCAAATGGCAGGGGAATTATAACATGAAACCCCAACATTTGCCCTCCTGTGCAATAAACAGCATCAACAAATCCTTAGATGAAGATAACTCAGGGCAAGGAAAGGGCTAAGCCTGTGAAAACCAGAAGCCGCCGCATGACATTTTTTGACATCAACCACCCACTGTTCCTGCTTATATTGCTTCTGGGGTTCAAATCCTCACTCTGACCATCTAACAAACTCTATCACTGAAACTTTTATTTCAGTCAACGTGACCGCCCGGGTGTACAGCCATTCTCACTTGAGGATTTCACCACTTTCAAGCTTCCAGATGCGGGGGTGCTTCCCACGTGTCCGCAGGTGGCAGGCCGGCCGCAGGTGAAGGAAGACATGAGCTTGCAAGGTTCCTCCTGAGATGAGAGGATTTCTGGAGGCCGCAATCCCACCGGCCCCGACCTGGAAATGAAATGAGGACTGATCAGGTGCAGTCCGGGGTGCAGGCCTGATATCGCAGCCAACCACCCCAGAAGCCTCTCCGGGTCAGGCCGCCCGCGGTGCAGGCCTGAACGCTCCCCATGCGAAACCAGGCCCAAGTCCGAGGCCTGCCCCTCGGTGGACCTGGGAATCGGCGTAAGTGGCCGTGAGGCGCACGGGGTGGCACGGGCTGGGGGCCACCCCCAAAAGGGGGCCCCCCCAGAGGGGGCCCACGCCCAGAAGGGGGCCCACCCCAGAAGGGGGCTCACGCCCAGAGGGAGCCCCCCCAGAAGGGGCCGCCCCAGAGGGAGCCCACCCCCAGAGGGGGCCCACGCCCAGAGAGCCCCCCCCAGAAGGGCCCCCCCCAGAAGAGGCCTTCGACGCCGAAGGTGGCCCCGGGCTCGGGCCGTCCAAGACCAACCACCCCGGGGCGGGGAGACCAGCCGATCACCGCCACTTCGCTCTGAAGAAAGGGGGCCAAGGGTGCCAGCGTCAGGAAACGCCCCGTTTTCCCACCCCGCAGCCTTACCGCCACCAAGGGCCCGAGGCCGCGCGCCGCCCGCGGCCGGACAGGACCCGCCATGACGCCCCGACACGCGGCCAGAGCCGAAGGGCGCGGCGGGCCGCGCCTGCGCAGCGTCTCCCCGGAAGTCTCGCCGGAAGTCCCGCGGTGCGCGAAGGGGCTGATGGGAAGTGTAGTCCGGCCCGCGGCGGGGCGGGCGGGGCGCGGGGGCCCCCGGGGGCGCGAGCGGGCGCGCGGGGAGCTGGAGGCCGCCGCCGGGGGTCGCGAGCTGGCTGGGAAGGCGGGTCTCGGGGAGCCAGGGCTGTCAGCGAAGGGAGACGACGGCGGCTTCGGCCATAAGCCATGTAGCCGCCGAGTGCACTGACTGTCCCTGGCCGGGACCGCTCGAGGCTCTCTTGAGGGGGGCGGGCCCCCCGTAACTGCCCTGCGGAGCGGGACGGTGGCCTCTGGGCTGGCCGCGTCGGCGGGCAGGCGGGGTGCCGGGGCGCTGGGCGCCCTCCGTCCCGCGGAAGGGCTCTGCAGGTTGGGGGCCGGGGGGCGGGCGCGGGCGGCAGGGGGCGCCCCAGAGCGCCCCCCGGCCGGTGCCGAGCGCCGCCACCCCGCCTCCCGCGCGGCACCTGGGGCCGGGCCGGGGCTCCTGCCGCCCCGAGCGCGCCTCTCCTCGCCAGGGGGAAAAGTAAGTTTTGCAAAGGACTAAGAATAATGTAACACCCCCTTCCGCTGCTACAGGGCACCCCGATACTGAACGGGTGCCTGGCTGTGGGTCCTCACCCGCGCGCTCACAAGGGACTTATGAATACTCCACGGCAGGACACACAAAAGGTTCATAAAGGTTTATTTACAAGGGAAAAGGAAATAAGGAAAATGGACAACTCAGGGAGAAAATAGGGAAATAAAGTCTTTCATGCGTCCTGCCCGATCCGCCGACCTGGAAACCCAAAGGCACTCTCAGCGCTGGCCGGAGGCTGCGAGCTGGTGGAGAGTCAAAATGGGGGACCCCCCCCCAAAGCCCACGTGTCTGCCTTTTATACCCACCTGGCTGCTTAACCCCACCCTCAGGTCCCAGCCACCTTCCCTTGGGTGGGGACGGGGTGTGGAGTTCCCAGTGTCTGTGGCTTTGGCCTGGGGTGGGGGTGGAGTCCACGAAGCCTGCATGGAATGAGCTCTAGGACAGCCTTTTCCCCCTAACAATTCCCCCCTTTCACTTTATGCCACCATTTCGGTGGTGATGAAGATGAATATATGGATGTTGGGAACGTCCGAGTATTTTCCAGGCAACCACCCTGGCGTCTTTGGAGCAATAGGGCAAAACACCCACTGCAGTCAGGGCAGAATTGGAAATTAATTTAAATTTGTAAGGCTGGGTGACGGTGTATTAAACACTCCCCATTGTCATGGACCTCGCACTGTCATGTCAATGACCTCAGGGGTATTCCGGCTGGAGTATATTATTCTGAATGTGCTAATCTGCTGCAGATACTTATTTTCAAGTTATTTATGTTTGCCTCCCTTAATTTAATTGTAAGCTCTTCAAGGCAGGAGCCGTCTTAATTATTTTCTTTCTTTTTAATTTCCTCACAGCGCCTGGTTGGTAGTTCTGCCTCCCTCAGTGAATAATCATTAACGCACTTAGCACTTAACTCCCACCTTGTGAAACTGGCCCTTGGCTGTTTTCCCCCTGAAGGCAAATTGCTTTGTGGAATGCTGAGAGTGGGTTCTCTCCCTGCGAACAGAACGAGAGCCCTTGCACTGCAGACTTGCAGAGGGGGTCCTGAGTGTGGCATCTCCAAAACCGCTGGTGAAACTGGTGGCTGACGGAGCGCCCCCCACCCTAGTTGAGCACTTAGGTGTGTTGTTCCCTCATCCTCACCGCCCGCGGCACACACCCTCAGAGCCCCTTTCCACAGACCAGGAAACAAGCACAGCAGGACTGGGTGATTACCTCGAGTCCCAGGGAGTAGGGATTTGATCCCAGTCCACAGGGTCAGGGCCTGAGCCTGCCCAGCTGCGCTGCCTTGGTGTCCCTACAGGTAGGTGACCCTTGTGTATAAGGGCTTCGGACTTGGTGGGGGGGAGAGGAGGGGAGAGGACTCTTGAGTGTTTGCAGAGGTGGTAGGGGTGAAACTAGAGATGAGATTGAAAGGGGGAGATGCCAGCGGCATCTTTTCCAGGTTGGAGAAGCTTTATGCAGGCAGAGTAAGGATGAGAGGCTGCAGGAGGCCAGCCCTGAAAGGCTGGGAGGCCCGGCTGCTCTCACAGGACTGCCCTGAGTCCCAGACTAGTAGCACCCCCCACCCCCACCCCCCACCACCCCCGGCTCAGGGAGGGTCACTGTGCCATAGGTCCCGGGGTTGCCTTCACACCTGATGGGGCACTCAGTGGAGCAGCGGCAGGCTCAGGGAGGATGGGGGTGTCACGGGCTGCTGGACAGTGGCCAAGAGGCTGGAGCCAAAGGTACAAGAGGCCTCGTGGCTAAGCACGTGTCAGGTACACAGCTTGGGCAAGCCAGAAATAACCGGGAAAGCCTTTAAGGATCGCTGCAGAATTCCCGAATGAGCGGGGCTCAGAGCTGTTGAGACTGAAGTGTTAATGTCACCGTGATTTCATTTGCACTCACCGCTGGGGAGGCCTGGGTCATTTGCACTCACCGCTGGGGAGGCCTGGGGCATGTGAGGTTACAGACGTGGAGTTACTAGCTGGCCATTATTCAAGGCTGGTGTCGGTCTCACGCAGTCTAGTGATAAGTGACAGAAGTCAAACACAAACTGAGCAGGATGGGAGGCCCCAGCGCTGTTCCGGAGCCCAGGCTCTGAGTGCAGAGGGCAGCCCGGGTAGCTGGCCTGCTGCGTTCACATGGGCAGCCCATAAATCCCCTTTACTGACAAGATCTGAGACCTGGCCTCAGGGACCCACAGTCTTTGGAATATTGATCTTCAGTTCTTAACCTGGAATGGCATCTTTCATTTCATTATAAGACCAAGAAGGAGGGAGGGTACGTCCCCAGCCGTCGGCTGCCCACGCAGGTGGGGACAGTCACATCAGCGGTGACACCGGATGGCATGGCAGGCCCTGTCATTGCCACTCCTGCAGCTGTTCTGCCTCCATCTGAGGAACAGAAGGCAACAGAACCCTGCTGGGCAGCCGCTTTCTTCAGGGGAGGCAGGCTCCTCCCCAGCCACAGGAGCGAAGGCCAGTGCCTGCGCCAGGCCTGCGTGATAAATCTGTCCCCAGTGCCAGGAAGTGTTTTAGGAAAAGGTCTGTGATGCAATGCTACAGAGTTTGGGAAAGTTTGCTTCTTTTTAAAAACAGCAGCCTCTCTTCTGGCTTTGGGACCCGGGGAAGATAAGCTGCTTGACACCACTGCAGCCATCTGACCTCTAGGGCGGCCTGAAGCTGAGGGCTGGGTGGCCGAGTGGAAGGGAGGAACCCAAGTCCTTGAAGATATTTCAGAACCACTGAAGTCACCTGCCCTGAAGCCCCCAACTTTCAGATCTTTGGTTTTAATTCAGAGGCACATAATTTTACATCTTAACATTTCTCTGACCCTGGGGGCATCTTACGGAGCAGGGCATCTCGTTTTAATGAACTGCAGAGCGAGGAAATCTTGCTGTTTCAGCCATTTAAAACCGGGTGTTCTGTTAGTGGGGAAACCATCCTACATGACAGGGTCCACCTTGTCCAGATCTTACTTAAAACATGGCTCCCCGGGAACACAGGGTCGTAGCATAGTGACGACGGTGAGCAGCCTGTGCAAGGCACTTTCTGAGAACAGAGCAGCCCGTGTAGATTGTGTCTCTCCAGCCAGCACTGCTGTTACCCCCACTCTGCGGCCCAGGAAGCCCCAATAATGAGTCAGTGGGAGCCTTGAAACCTGAACACAGACTTGTCCTGCCTCCAAGCCTCAGGAGTCAGTACTGTCTAGGGCTTCCTGAAAAACTAGGCTACGCCAGTGGGACGTTTCCAGTGACCCCAGCGACTGGCTCCGTCCAGCTAGAAAGCCCTCAGAGAAGCAGAGAGGACTTTCCCTGTGATTTCTGGGGAGTATGAAAGAGCAGCCCAACTCCCAGCAGAAATCTGGGCTCGCTGGATGTAGCTTAAACCCCTAGATTAAAACTGTAACGCCCTCCTGCTTGTGGAGACAGCTGACCTTGGTGTGGCCGGGGATTGTTTCCTGTGTTAACCAACAGCCGCATCTCACTGGCTGCTCTGCAGAGCTGTGGCCGCTGCAAACTGATTACTTAATAGGTTTGTTTTGTTTTTCAAGCGGAATTGAAGGATATGTAATATTCCAGTGACCTCGTCTGCTATGTTCTGGACACGTCTCTGTTCCCAGAAACTCTTGCCTGCTCTCGATTGTTGCACAACCATCACTCACATTGTTTGTTCCCTTTGCCTGAAATGTCCCTGCCCTGGTCCTCACTCCGCAGGCCCGGCCTATGCTTCAGCATGACCTCTGTGCAGTCTCACCTGAGAGGCCAACTTGCTCTGCGCTCAGCGCCAGGAGCCCAGTCCCAGCTCTACGGATTCCCAACTGAGGTGCCTTGGGGAAATGACCTCCCCGCTCCTGAAGCACCCTTTCTTTTTCTGTAAACCTACAGGGGTGATGGCAAAACCTCTCCGGCCTGTGTGACAGCCTGGGAAGCCCAGAGCAGGGCCCAGCAGGCAGCTTTCGCGGGCAGGCCTCCCGTCGTTGAACCGACCTCTTCTAATGCTAACTGATTCCAGTCTGCCTTTTCCACCAGCTCACAAGCAAGGCAAAGATCAGGCCTTCATTCTTGCCTTTTGTATTTTTTTTTTAAACTCTATAAGTCACCTTTATTGAGGTATAACGTACATACGATGCAAGGCCTCCATTTAAAATGTTTGGTCTGATCCGCTAATCAGTGATACACCCGGGACACCATAGATGTGAAGCATCATCATCACCCCAAACACCACCGTCACCCCTTATACAGCCAGTCTCCACAGCACTCCCCAGCCCCGGGCCGCCACCCATCTGCTTCCTGTCACTGCGGATTAGTTTCACCTGCTTGAGAGTCTCG